AAAGGCTTTTGGCGAGATGCGTCATTCTGCAAGTTTCAAGTATATACCTACAAGCCATTCACTGGGTATAGAGGTGAACAGCCGATTCTTCTGTTAGCCTCACTAAGTTTCGGTGCCCTGTGCTTGGTCCCTGTTTCTGTTAGATGCATGTCTCCCTTTTGGATCCTTTTGGATCCTAAAATGGGAATCTGACATATTGAGTTTCCAGTCGAGATTGACGTCTTGGAATCTCGTTCTTTTCTCACTTCGTTGCAAGTCTCGCGCATTGTCATAGCATGTCATAGCCTACTTGGTACACGGAGTATTCCGAGGGGCTGTGGCGGGGCAAATCAGACTCCGTGCTGTGGGCTGTGTGGAGGAAAAGGTCTTCAAAAAAAATAAAGACAAAAATAGACAAAACAATTTCCACTTCCATGATTGCAATGGATATTTACAGTAGGTGATAGATGGCGATAGCCGATAGCCTTTGAGTGAGCAAATGCCCCGGTCCTCCTGCACTTTGGAATTTCTTTGCAAACTGGCCGCAAAGGAGACTCTAAGCAGCAACACATATTCTCTGCGCTACCAATTCTAAGGTTGCGCTTATTCTAATAGGCTTGAGGTGATGTTATGTCATAACTGTGGCATTTCTCAAAAGCTCCTACGTTCGTTTTCGCACCGCTGTTGTCGCACCTTCGCGGAGTTTCCCACAGAATCGTCCAGCTGTCGTCGACGGTCTCGACGGTCGACACGAGCGTTTCGACTGTCTCGACTGGTACAGCTGGAGATAGCTTTGCTCTACCATTCCTGCAAACAGGGATTGCAGGATATCACAAATCTCTCTTCAACCACGCAAGAGCTTTGCTGCAAGATCTTCGAATTTTGGGTCTCGTTCTTCACTTCTTGCCTTCTTGAGCTGGTGGTAGGTGAAGCTGCCAGTTTGGCAGATTCACCATAGCCAAAACCTCGCAGAATCCAAGAAACTGTGAGCAGATGGCAATCTGTAACTTGCAAGAGAATGGTCACCTTGACCTTGACTCTTGTACCTCTTCAGCACTTTTCAGGTTTTTGGGGAAGAAAAACTTCAGACTTCCCTCTCACTCCATTCCTTATGTGTCTTGGACCGGGTCACCGGGACCCTCGGACCGATCGCACGCCTCGCCTGGAGTGTGGCGACGGTCCTTCGGTGCCTCAGCGACCGGCGAGTTCCGCCGTGCCGACGACGCAGGAGCCTCTGAGGTGAGGACGGTGCCACGGGGGGCCGGCATGGCTATGAATTACTACATGACATTGCAATGCAAAACACAGGGCCTTCGGCTTTTTTTAATGCATGTTCGAGTTTTCTTGAGGCCTGTCAGAGTGGGTTTTGAGGGTCAGGATGGGTGAGGAACTTCAGAACACCTGGAAACAGAAAGGACGTCTTCTTTCGTTTGAAGAAGAAAGCATTAGACGCTTCTGAGCATCGCAGTGGTTGCAGCGGTTGCCTTGTTTGGGGTTGTTTTGGGAGCACCGGGACCAGGTGTGTTCCGGGTATGTGGACAGTCTGCAGTTCTATTCATCAATGGGCTGCATCATCTCCAAGCCAAAAGAGCGAAGATTGACACCCAAGTTTGCTTTCAGTTCGAGAGCAATGCCACTCATTTTGAATGATCGAATGTTTTTGATGTTTTTCCTCACAAGTTCCAACAAGCAGAAATGTGACTCTTTGAGAACAAGTCCGAGCCTCTGGGCTTGGCTTCATGCTTGGAGTCGTCTGAGCCGCCGTTGGCTCAGTCTGAGCCACCGTCGGCTGCCCTGTTCAGTCTGAGATGCGATTCCGGTTTTGTACCAGCTTTGCCGTGCAGCTTCCCCATCCACTCGCCTTCTGGAGCTGCCTCTACACTAGGCTCCTTGGAACATCTCGATTCCGCACACGGCCGTAACATGTTGACATGGCTGTGACTTTGAGAGAAAGTTCTACCTGCACACAGTACCGAGGTCAACATCCGCCGAGTATTTGCATACTATATGTGGCTCTATAAGTCGGTGGCTTCTACAGTGGGCCGTCTCCATCGACACCCGGGTGCCAGGCTGCGACCTCCTCCGGCTTCTCCACTGCTCCACCGAAGGTCGGAGAGGCCGAGCGCGGCGCCTGCTTGTCGGCTGTGCCGACTGAATATGACGCTACAAATAAGTCCGACTATATGGGCCTGTCTTACTGTTTAGCATAGATATGAAACTATCTAGAGATTCCAAAGCCAGCTAGACAGCTAGACTCTTTTGAAACTTTTTGAAATACTTATAGTGTTGTCAGCTCCTAAATACCCATAAATACCCATCAACTGCCGCAAATCTCTCCACATGTTCGTGCGTAAATGTGCGTTTCCTCTTCGCATTGTTTTGTTTTAGGAACATATGGATGTCGTTCCTTTCACTCCAGGGCCGTCTTCGCACCTCTCTGGCTCCGGCGGTTGGAGCAACACCCAAACTCACCTGGAGAGCCGCACGGGACAGGATGAACACACGGAGGCTCTCCGCACGGGTGGAGCCGCACGACTCGGGAGTCAAGCGAGATCGAACGTGGCGAGGGTCGACGAGCCTAGCGATTTTCCTGCCGCTTCAAGATCGTCCGGTGCGTTGGTCAAATGATTTGAGGTAAAGAAAAGACATCTCCAGCAAGTGGAGTAACAAGAAGCTAGTAGTAACAAGTGCCACGCTAGTAGTAACAAGTGCCTTACTAGTAGTAACAAGAAGCTATTAACTTCACCAGGATTCTTTGCGGAGTCCGAGTCCGGATAGTCTCAGTCCACCGAGGGCAGCACATCCGTGCCAGGAGACCGTTGACCTGTGCAGGGATGCTTTTGGCACGGGCCAGTGGTTGCATCATCAATAGAAACCTCACAACAAAACAAGGCCAACATGGCCAACAAAGGCCAACATGGCCAACATGGCCAAAAAGGCCAACATGGCCAACAAAGGCCAACATGGCCAACAAGGCCAACATGGCCAACAAAGGCCAACATGGCCAACATGGCCAAAAATGCCAACATGGCCAACAAAGGCCAACATGGCCAACAAGGCCAACATGGCCAACATGGCCAACAAAGGCCAACATGGCCAACAAAGGCCAACATTGCCAACATGTCATCTATTCAATATGATGTACCTTACCATGTAATTACCATGAATGTAGTATAGTGTGGTGCTATGATATGCCATGACAGCTGGTGTGTAAAACTGCAATCTATCAATTCCACAAAAACTGTGAATTCAGTGACAATCGATGACATGTCATGTCATTCCAAGTGGTAGCCAGCAGCACAGCAGTTTGTGGCGTGCCCGCCAGGGATAGCCAGCAGTTTGCCAGCATAGCATGCTAGTGGTTTGTTTGGAAACATCAAAACCTCCAAAAGCGCTCGAGAAAACATCAGAAACTCAGCAACGACGTGAGTTTGGTTCAGATCCGTGCGGGTGGTGTGTTGGTGTGAAAGCGTGCGGACCGCATGGTGTACGGCGTACGGTCGATGGCCATGCTGGATGCAACTGGCAGACCTTATACCGCCGGGTGGTGTGGCAACGGACCTTCACCCGACATCGCCACGGATTACAAATGTCATACCGTCATTCCACATCAGTCTCACTCAGATCAGCAAGACTTCAAACAACTGATCTCCTACAAAGTGTTGGCTGTTGAAACGGCGTTTCCTCTACAGTCCGGAATCCGTCAGGTAGGGCACAGTGGGGCATTTGTGGAAGATCATCCAACAAACACAGTGTAGTTGTATGATCATATGTGGAGGCTTCAGACTTCATACAGTTGCCAAGCGCTTGAACGCTTCTCAGCCTGAGGGCTCCGGTGACTCTGGCTTCTCAGCCTCGCCTAGGGGAGAGAAGTCGGAAAACAGTGTGGCTGGAAATGGAGAGATCGGAGAGGACTGCAAGTCTTTGTCAGATGTAATCAGAACGGAGAAGTCCATTCGAATCCCCTGGCCTTCACCCTGACCTTGCTCAGCAGTGGCAGCCGCTGTTAACTCATCCGCCTGTCGACACTTGGAGTGACATGGTGTTTTAAGACGTCTTGTTGTGAATTCTACTCCCCCCTCTCACACATCTCAAACCAACCCAAACAAATTCATAGCTAAAAAAATATAAAACAGTCTTCTCAAGAACCCTCCACAGGCTATCACAGGCTTCTCTTATCCATCATCAGGTTGTTTTTCTCTAACCCCTCTTAACCCTCTTAGCCCCGAAAAATGAACCCAACGAGTCTGTCCGCTTCGGTGTGGCGGTGCCTCGGTGGGTGCTTCGGTGGGTGGCATTTTCTGCGAGAGCTCCGCCAGCAGCTCAGCCTCGACGAACGTGGCGTTTCTCCGCGACGGAACCTTCGGCCTGGTCTTGTTTGGAATGTTCATGGGATTTTCGTACATATATATATATATATATGCTCACCATTCTTGTTTGGCTCAATTCATCTCAATTTCTCTCCATCAGTGAGTCTGAAGATGTCTGAAGCTAAGCTCGTCAGTGTTGCGGGCTGAAAGGAAGTGTTGCCATGTGTTCGGATGAGTGCATTGTTTCAGAGAAGCATCCAACGAAAGAAGAATGCCTCGTAGATTTCTCGGATGCGATATCCAGGATCTTCATCATCATGGTACTCATCGTCAACATCCCACACCTGTGCTTAATGCATTTGAGTTCCGGACAGGTGGCCTACCTCATCCTACCTCTATCTCTCACACATTCTACGCCAGCCAAAGCCTCCTTTTGAGGTGCATCTCTGCGCTTGGGCAGATAGTGTGATGACCTCTGATTCAAGCCATTCTGCTTTCTGAGCTCTTACAGCTATCCTGAGCTCTTACAATTCACAAATTCACTTGGGGGACGACGGTAAGGGCTCTGACTTCTGAGCCTCTGCATCATCTGCATCTGCCTGCGAGATTTCTGAGAGGAAGTCCTGTCTGTGACTGCAAGACATGGCGCAGTGATGTGGTGATTAACATTCCGCCTCAACGGCGGACACCACAGGCTGCGCTGTCACCTTGTCAGTGGTTGACCATCTTAGTATTTGCTAACTGGTGAAGCCAAGCGGAATAAGAGGCCTCCGGTAGTGGCTGCATTTCTTTTTGAATGCTTTCCCAAAACCTGCGTGACACGGGCATCACTACGTCACTACGTGTTGAATAGATTGAACAGAAGCAGCTATTCGTCACTCGATGCCTAAAGGTGTCAACCTCACTGATATTCAGCATGCTGCTGGTGTCCACTTGCTTGGGATCAAGTACGATGTCCTGGCCAAGGGTTTGTGTCTCTTCATATGTTTGTGTCTCGGACCAACCATGGGTCAAGTTGCTGCTAACGACCTGTGGAGCCCCTGCAACCGAGCGAAGAACTGCCTTTTATTCGTCTCCCAAACCCCTGCTCATGACACCAAAAGTCGCAAACATCACCGCTCACATGGGCTGCATCCGAAACCACCCCGACATCGGCAGCTCACCGCCACATCCAGCTTGGGAAAGGCATCGCTCTTCAAGGTCGCATCGATGCAACTCAGCAGTTTCTCATCAGACAAGCACTGCCTTGGTCGCTCGTGGAGCGTTTGCAAGTTCCTCCACCAAACATCCGGCTATAGAAGAGACATCAAGCATCATGAAGCTCTAGACTCTGGAGTCTAGAGCAAAAGAAGACATGACTGAAAAAGACACCACTTCTGCTGCTACCAGGGTGCCCCGAAGCCATCAGCTTTCGCAGAAGGTTGTCCAAGAGGTCCTGAATGAAAGCCTTGTCCGTTTTGGGAAGCTACGCGATGCCACCAAACCAAGGAGACGGGAAATGACGTACCCCTTTACAAAACTGACAAGAACTGATTCACAGAAAAAAGATGGATCAAAGAAAGTCCTGACACCGACGCAAGAAAAAGAACTCGCCTCTGACGCATTGTTGTTCCCCGGCTTGATGGCCTTATCACGCGCCGAAGTTCGTCCCGGGGGCTTTGGACACATGCAGCTTCCAATGTTTCGGCCGCTTCTCCGGCCTCCAAGTCTGAAAGCAACAGTGCGCAATGGTCAATGTGACCCCGGAAGCGTCGAAGCACTTCCTGCGATGGCGAGGCGCGGCTGGAAGGCAAGGTTCGAGAAAAATCGAACGTCCCAGGCCCCTGGCCTCTAATGCTGGAACGTGTTCGCTGCATTGAGCCTCATGCTTGCTGGATAAGAAGCTGTGCCCCGCACTTTCACATCAGAACCGTCCTTGCACTAATACCTGGGCGTTAAAATATTAATGTTTTGAAACCAGGTAGTGTAAGTGCTCGTTACCCGTGAAACATCTCTTTTGCGAAGGGTTTGAACAGCACCAGAAAGGTAATTCTTTACAAAAGACTCATCAAGGACAGATCAACTCCCATCAAGGATCAGGCTGCAGTAACCCCCCATTTGGATTGAACAATTTCTTCATATGGGGGGGTATTTATCAAGAGGCTACATTCCAGTAAAGTCTTCCATATAGCAAATACAACCATTGTCGTGCTGGTGTTCAGAATGGGCGTTGTCACTGAGGGGCTCGACGCTAAATTACCACAGCAAGGTACAAACAAACAAGCAAATGTACAAACATGCTTGAAACAGGAGTGGATAGTGGTAAGTCACCAAAAACACTATATAGGCGGATGAGATGTATGAAAACAACCTTGGAGGCTACAATACACTACATGTCTCATGTCTGCTTAAGTTGTGAGCTGCAAAATGCGCATGTGTGTGTGCCCCTTGTAGTCACAGGGATCCGCTTGGATTGTTTACTTTTGGACTCCGTTCTCAGTCTTTAATTTTCAGCAGGGGGCCAGGACTGCCTGGTGCACGTCCTGGCCAACGAAGACCGCGCACTAGGGAGGTGTAAACGTACCTGCTGTAGTTAAACTGTTGATTGGTTGATGTGGTCCCTTGGTTTGTTTCATGGTGGTTCATGTACCTGATGTTGTTCCAGGAGGTGTTCAGGTTTTCATGTACTTCAAAAAGGGCTAATGCACGTTTCGCCGTCATCCTGTCGCTCGTTCGGCCGACTTTTAAGTTTCCGTAAAGGGCTAGTGGCTTTCTGCAGACATGCACGACACGCCGTCACTTCGACCTGATCGCCGTACTCGGTCTTGAGTTTTTGGCCTCACTTCCTCTTGCAGACCCCAGGATCCGATGGTTCTTACTGGTACTCTTAGGAACTGGTACCCTAGGCCGCCGTGTGGCACCGCTGTCAAGTCAGTACGCATATCCATAAGTATGTGCTGGACAATACAGCCAAAACCTTATACCGGTGAAGCAAGCTACTCTAGTAGTACCAGTAGTAATGGAACCCTTCAAGCTCCGAATTACAATACTTTGAAATGTGGAAGGCATGTGCGGCAAAGCCAATGCAGCAAGCTTCAGCTTGGACACCCCGACGAGAACGGCATGAGCAGCCGTGGTGAAGTTGCACTGTTCCAGGAACTGTGCGACCAGCTCAAAAATTCGCACTGCACCTGAATTCGGCTCTAGTGTTTCTTTTCCACAACAAAGAGGTGAGCGAAAGAAGGTGTGTGTGGTGTGGTGTACATGATCTTGGTCCCTCAGGGACCCCAACTTCCTGCGCCCTTTTCGGCACAGACCGCTGCCATGGCGCCGGCGCGGAGGGACTGATGCGACTGATGCGACTGGCAACTGCGACAGGGACTCCTCGTTTTTCATAGAAGCGAATAGGATGGAAATGGATAGAACAAGCGTTTAGATTGAAGGCAAGAGCTCATACTGCTGAAATAGTTCAATAGTTCTTTGGAGTATCTTTGGAGTATCTTTGGAGTAGTGATGTGCCGTGCTCATGACCGTTGATCCGATGGACGTTGATCGGTTCAACACAAAAATGCTCCGTCGGCTCGGGTCTCTGGATCCTTGAATGTGATCCACAAGAGCATGTCTGGATCTGGATGGAGGACTGGAGGATGCAAAAGAACAACGGGAAGAAACCCACCGACCTGTGCGAACTCGCAAGTGAATATTGTGTTGCATTGAGAACATGTCAAGCAAATCGGTGACGAAGGAAATCATCCGGTCGGAGAGAGGCACGCGCAAACTTGAATTGCAGCACCTTCCTCTGTGGGAGCCTGCGGTTTCCACAGGAAGGCTGTTGCTGTCGCGAAAACTCGTCTTCTCAAATTGTCTTCATGTCTTCTGGCCTGATCCAGTTGTCTGAGAGACTTCACACGATTCGCAATTTCCTGGCAAAATTGGCCAGATTGGCCACCGGCCATGCAAGCAGCAGCCCTGCCATCAGGACACCTCTCCCTATATATATTGATATACAGTTTGAATCAGTATGATATACATGACTCAGTCAGGAAAAACGACAGCCATCTTATCATCTTGCAAGTTGAGGAATAAAATCGTGGACATCCAGATACATTCAGGCTTTGCCAGATGTCCCACCGCCACGTTCGTCCCAAACTGCTTTCGTCCCGCCGTCCTCACTCTCCAAGGTTGCGCCGTTCGTCGCTTGCGGTGAGAGCGTTTGCTCTTTCACAAACGTACTCAAGACCTGACTGAACGGAGAACCGAACGGACCGGGTTCCGAACTGAACGGACAGACCGGACTCCTGGCGTCAGAGCGTCCGTCTCGCCTCCACCAGGCCACAGGCATCTTTCGGCTTTTCGGCCTCGGGGTCGTTGGAAGAGCCCAGCGTAGGCCCTGCAACTATACAGACCCCCAAAGAGATAGAAAAGTCGAGTCCCACTAAGAATGTATTGGACATTGTGCCGCTATCTATTTGGGGATCACAGAAGTAGTTTCACCGGGTGTTTTCCGAAGAGTGGCTTCTCACAGACCTCTCTATCACTGGCATTGAGTCTCGAGCAACCACTCTGTCGATGACTTTGCCCAGGTGAGCATAGACGTTCTGTTCAAGCGCATGAATAGAGTTGAGTGTCACAGAATGTCTGGTCCTTGCGCCTCCTTTTTCAGGTAAGCCAGGTCTGCATCGGCAGTGCCCATCTGCCAGATAGATAACACCAAGAAAACCAGACCGTCTTCTGCGACAAAACATCGCCGACCTCTGCCGCAAACCACTGTGTCCACGGAAATTGAGCCAAACTTGCGGGATGTGCACATAGCATGGATCCCCTCTGTAGGAAGAAGACACTCTTCCTTGCTTCCTCTTCCTCGGATTCCCTATCCAAACATGAAGGATCTTCCAATACAAATGTCTCTAACGTCAACCCAGAATGGTTCACGCACAGTTTCCTGTCTGGCGCTGTACATCGAGCTGAAGAGCTGCAGGCAGCTTCATCCCTGGACCATCATCTCCTGTGGCTTGCCGAGAGGTGCTCAGAAAGAAAAAATGCCTGGCCAGGCCTGCTCCGATCGCCAAGCCACGTTAAGTCACGTCGCTGGTGCATCACCTTTTGGGAGGACCATCGCTGAACAAACGCGGCGGAACCGAAAAATCAAAGACAAAAGACAAAGACTGTTGTCTGCCAAAGAGTTCAAAACAAAAGAAATGGGAAAACAACCAGAATGGAAAAAACCATTGGCACATTGGGTTGGTTTTGGATGATTCAGCTATGCTGCTGTCTTTGGGGCCACCAGATTCCACCTCTCTCACCTTTAGACCGAGCTGCACGTCTCACTTCGGTCTGGTCGTTCTCAACCACGGTGGAGCTTGCACGGGAGCTCGGACTTTCGTCTCGTCCTATCGCTTTCGGTTCGCTTCAAGACTTCAAGACTTCGGCTTTTTCAAACGGCACTGAAGGATGGATGCCACGTGGCGCATGGCATGTTAAAAAATTGATGATCTGAACGGCTACGAAAACTTTGGCGAGAGTAGAGTTAGGCCAGTTCTCCCAAGCGAACGTGCGATTTTCACAAGCCTACAATGCTGACGTGTCAAAAGTTCCGAAGCACGAACATCCATGCACTTAGCCTTCAGGACCACGCGGCTGCAATTTTCTGTGATCGAATATCTTGTACACTTTAATCTCATATCACATTTGAGTGTGTTTGTATCTGGTTGTAATGAGTCTTGGGATGTCTTGGGTCAATTCAGGCATGGGTGAGAGAACAAAAAATGACAGGAACATCAAACGCTTTCCCTACGCCGATTCGGGCGCCACTTCCGATCGCCTGCTCAGTCACCTCAGCATAGCCAGATGAACCTGGATCGGTGTCGGTGCAGCGGGGCGAACGCCTGACCTCGTCACGACAAATCCCACGTCGAGCCCAGATCCACCAGGTCTTTAAAAGAAAAAAAATGGGTGAGGAAAACATCCGTGTTTGGGGTCTTGTAGGTCGAAAACATCTCGAAACGTGTCGAAACGTTGCCAACTAACGTCGCCAAGTCGTGTTGGGTCTGGTGCGTGCGCCAAGATTCACTAGATCTTGGCGCGACAATATCTGTTGCTCCCTCTGTAAGATTAGATCTGGCAGACTCGCTCATCCGTCGGTCCTCCATCTGGTGGACCTGTGTCTTTGATTAAGCGGAACTAACATGGAACTAACATGGAAGTGGAAAACCTCCTGTTTGGCATTCTGAAAATGGTCTTCCAAGTGACCTTTGTCGAGTTGCATATTAGTTCCAGGGAGTGTAGTCAAGTCTAATTTTCTGTGACACGACAGGAGCCAAAACCGTAGTCTCAATGCCTGGAGCTGCCGTCGTAGGAGGCCCCTCCTGCCCATGTGTGACCAAACACAAATCCTGCGTGACTGTTGCTACTGCCAGATTGCACATCACAATCAGTGGTGGGTCAAGTTCTAGAATTGCTGAACTTGAAAGCTACAATCTGCAGTCCACCAAGATGGCCCCATGGAATCATATGGAATATGATGGAATCGCAGCATGGCGTCGTCCTTACTGCTCACCATGCATCGACCCATCAAGGAATCCAGCCAATCGTCCTGGTAACGCTGTGGGTGGCACCAGGAGACCGACCGGTAGACCTACGGAGATCAAGCTACATGGTGGAAACAGGGCTATGACGTACAGGTTTTGACCCATCCCCTAATTCATGCTATAGATGACAAAAAAAATAACACCTGGTCATTTCACCTAGACTTTGGATGAGAACCACGGAAGTGGCTTGAACGAGTTTGGGTGACAGCTCTTGACTTGAAAAAGCCTGTTCAAGGTGTCCCTCCTCGCCTCCTCCTTGGCAGCTTCCTTGGCCTTGCTGCTGTCCTCGAAACAGGCAAAATGATGCGAAAAACAAAAAAAACATGGGGTCGAAGTTCGCTCGTCTCGCTTCGGCCTTGCTCTCAGGCGGATCTGGAGCAATGGCTGGTGACATCCGACCCATCCTCACTGCTAAATGTGTCACTTGTTTAACATGATTTGGCATTAAATATAGTTATATATATAAGTTATGTAGTTAAACATTATATATATAGTCTATATAGTTACATAATTTTTCCCAAAAATCTAGGGACAAAATCATTAATTAGTGGAGCTTCCTTGGAGAAGCATGAGCTATCCTGCGTCCATACTAGTAGCTACTTGTTAACTACTAGCGACTCCCTCGCTACTAGCTACCTACCTAGCTAACCTCACCTCTACTCGGCCTACCCCCGCGGTGAAAAAAAGGAAAAACACTGCAATTCAATTCTGAATCTCTGAAGTCACAGTGCTTTCCTGAGTCCACTGCAGGACTCGAGAACCATTGGCTCCCAGTGCCTGATTTGCGGCGGAGATCGGTATGGCGGGTTGGGCGGCGTTCGTTCAAAGTGAGGAAGTGCGTATTGCAGCATACGGAAGAGGCAAGCTAAGCAAGACACAGAATGTATGACGATTCATGCAAGCTACCGGTGATTCTTGCCCAACACAGTCAAGCGGTCAAATGGACCATAAGGACATTCAGGCAAGGACATCCCGCTGCATGATCACAAAGTGTGCGAAGCTTTTTGTGAAGCTGGGAAACAATTCCAATGGTTATATGTGTACATTATATATATACAGGCCACTGGCATAGACCATATGGCTGCAAGAAGTGCAAAAATATAGCAAACAAGCAAGTTGGCTTTACTGCTTCTTGCGGTGGCCGCTGAATACTGCTGATCTGCAAACAGTTGTGCTCTCTGGCCTTGATCAAGGCACCATGCCATTCATCCACCGACAACTCTTTGTTGGCGGTGAAACAGTGTATCCTGCGTACCATTTGGGGTATGGTCACAAGTTCCGGTAGGTAGAAGAAGTTTAGAATTAGAAGAAAATACTGACAAAACTGGTCCGGCAAGTAGAAGAAATCAAAAGAACAACATGACCCAAAAATGTGTCATCCCACAGTCCCACAGGTCTCGTTTCTGTCCTCTGCAATCCACCCCCTTCGGCTGCGGCTATGGTGAAGCCAACCTAAGCTTAGCAGGTGATTCCCTGGGTAGAGTGTTTGCATACATGTTGGAAGGGGTTGAATGAGATTCACTTGTCTTTCACTCAGCAAAACTTGCACAGCAAACAATAGAACCAGGTCTGAATAGACTTAAAGGCTCCCACGCCATGTGCCTGATGCTGGCACCGGGAGATAATCTCAACCTCAGCTGGCCAC